AATTTACAAATTAAAATTAAATGAATATAAACATTTCATTCATTCATTTCTTTTTATTTTCTTTATTTTTATTTAATGTTCTATATTATAAATTAATTATTGATAGAATAAATAAATTTAATCTATTTCTTAAATACAAATTAATTCATTTTGTACTTCAAATGGTTTTATTTGATGAAAAGAAGAATGATTAGTATTTCATTTTATTTCATTAATTAGTATTGTTACATATTCTAAAATTATAATCATTCTAATATCTTTCTGATTATAAATTATGATATAATAATTCATTTAAAAGATGAATTAATGAATGAATATGGATTTATTGTATTATAATATTTTCATATATTATTTTTAAAAATCATGATGAAAATCATTATAAATTGATTGATTAAAAATAATTAAAATATTATTATTAGTATGTACTTATAAATTGTAATTGATATTTGAATAATTTTATTAAATATTTATTATCATATTCATTTTATAATAATATAAATATTCAAGAAGAAATAATAATAAATTAAATAATTAAATTATTCATCATTAATTATCTTCATTTGATTATTCATTAAAATTGAAATAAATATTTTATCATTCTAATAATTATATAATGATAATTTTATAAATGTTCTAAATGAAAGAATAATATAACAACAAGAATAACAAAATGAAATAAATAAAATATATATAATTCAATATTTATTAAAATAAATAAAAATATATCATTTTCAAAATAATTTAAAATAAAATAATATATAATATCAATAAACAAAACATTAAATTATTTATTACAAATCTTCATTTAATAAACAAATAAACTAAATATTATAAAATAGAAATATGAATAAATAAATATAATGATGATATATAATAATAATATAATAAATATATGAATAATAAGAAATATATAAATCAAATAAACATAAATAACAACAAAATTATTATAAAATCTAAATTAAAATAATAAAAAGAAATTAACAAATTAATAAAACATAAATAAACAATAAACAATAATAAATCAAATTAAACTAACATAATTAACAAAATAAAAATAAAATTTAATAATTTATATTTAAATATAATTAACAACATTTATAAATCATAAATCTATATAAAACATATTATAATTTAACTATTTTTATATTTAAATTCTCCATTATTTTTTTCCCAGGATAATTTTAAACCTCATGAATCAAATTATAACTTAAATTATGATCACTTTTAAATATTATCTATGATTTTAAGTATGAATATAACTGTTATAATATTGATAATTGATAATTTTAATAAAATTGAATTTAGTATGAAATAAATAAAAATATATTTATGCGTTTTATTCATTTTAAATTATTCACGTTTATTTATTATAATCAGTTTACCTTCATATTTAATGATTTTATATTATTCTATTTTATTATTTTATTAAGTATTCTATCATCTTTTTTTACTAGATTTACTTTTATCACTTTTCTTTACTCTTCATTATTCATTCCTTTTAAATGTTATTAATTAATAGAATATTTGAGTTTATTCTTTTTTAGTTTCATGTTTATTCTTTTTCTTATTATAATATCATAACTTATTCTTTAATCTTATTCTGAATGTTTTATATTATTCATTCTCTTTGTTTATTTCTCATTTTATATATTTATTAGATTCTGTTCATTTATTTAATATTTATTTTATTTATTCTTAAGTTTTTTTCTATATCCCTTCTTTTGTTTTATTCCTCTTATTTATTATATAATTTGTTATCTCATTCTTTTTCAATTCTTCGTTTTCTTTGATAATAATTATTATATTAATCATTGGTTTTATTTATTACCATTTCTTTATTATTCCTATTTCTTTTATGATTTATTATTCTCGCTTTATGTATTTTTATCTTCTTTTATTGTCTTTCTTTCTTTACTTTCTTTATTGTTTTATATTTGTTCTAATTTTATTTATATTTCTTTTGATTTAATACAGTATATCTAGATTATATATTATTATTCATTCTTTATTTACTCTTAATGAGATATGTTTTATTCTTTAAATACTGTTTGTTAAATATATTTATTTATCAATTTCTTTAATTTCAGTTTATTATCATTCATATAATCATTTGTTAAATATCTGTGTCATCATATAATGGTATCATTTATTTAAATATTATAATATTATTCATCATTCTATTAAATGACAAGTTTTATTTATTCATACACATTGATAACTTTAACATTACCTCTATTGAGTTATAAAACGCTTTTCATTTAAAGCCCATTTATTTCTGTCTATATTAGTCAATTTAATCTGTTACAATTTATTGAAGATTTCAGTAATAACCTGGTCGAGTTAATGAGTTTTACCAAAGTCAGTATGTGCTTTACAAATAAGTTAATTTAACTAGAACCTCAAAACGATTACGAAGAAATATCTAGATTTTATAAGCATTCCCCAACAACAAAAAGTGGATCTGTTATAAAATGGTTTGTGGCACATTGAGTTATGAATGTGGTAAATGTTAATACACGACTGTTTATTGCATTTTTCTTTAAAATAGCTGAGAACTTCACCAAATTTGCAGCAAAAGAAATAATTCACATGACTCTTTTCATCTTGTAAGTCGTTTCTACTGAGAACATGCAAGAATACACAAAGAAGAATTTAAATATAACAAAAATTATAATTAATTTATTTTGTTAATTAAAATTGTTTTTATAATAGAACCCTAAATTAGGTTTTCATAATTTCATTTTTATTTCAATAACACTTTTATAAAAATTTGTTATTGAAGAATATCATCAAACAAACGAAATTCATCTTTTATAAGAGATAAACAACTAAGATGATGTACAAGTTTTATGGACAGCTTTTTTTTTGAGAACAAGATAGAACAACAACCAATTGTCATGGGATCAATTGAAATAAACAATCTGAGAAAATCATCAAAAAAGAAAACTAGGAAATTTAATTGAAATGAATGTAAATGATAATGATCTAAAAGCTATGGAAAAAGGATATTGTTGTAAAATCACTCGATTCCCACAAACTGGGGATTCTCTGTATATTCGACCAAACAAAATCTATCAAGTTGGAAATACTCCAGATGCTGCAATTCAAGTTGGAGACTCTCCAATTCTGATATGTACGTTAATATGTGATAAAGAAGCGAATGTTGTGATTGAAACTAATCCAAAAACAACAGAAACGGTCAAAGTAAATGACATTGTCATGAGGAAAAAACAATTATTAAGCCATTTAGACATTATCACAATTGGTTCTGGTCAACTTCAATTTCTTTCGTTTTTTAATAACGGAAGAGTGAGGTTGAATTGTAAGAACCTCCATTGTCTTCTTCTTCACAACTACCCAATGTTTGAAAAAGAGTTAAAATCAATTGAAGGGAAAACAATATCACTAAAAGAATATAGAAAAGGACTTCGTAATATATTTATTGAATTAGACAAAAAGGATGAAGACAAAATTAAAAAATGTCGTGAAATGTTTAAAGAAGTTTTGAATATTGTAATGGATGACAATCCTCCTGCCAAATTACAAATTGAATGTCTTAAAGCTGGTATTGATATAAGGAATAAGCATGTTACAATTTCAGATGATGACAATAATGATACTGATCAATTAAAAACTCCAGTATTAAAATTTTTAAGTCAAAAACAAATAAAAATAAATCACAATAAAGAAAAATCAACACTTGTTGATACTACTGCATCAATTCTCCTTAATTTTGATGATAATGAAAATGATGATTTTGAAGAATTTAGAAAACACCAACTCCAAAGTCTTGATGACCAAGTATTAAAAAAAAAACAATTAGATTAACTGTGTTATTTATATTATTTGTTTGTAGACAGATAAAAAGAAAGGGATAAAATCTTCCTTTATTAGGATCTACACATTTGTCTTGCATAGGGTATTTTTTATCTAATTTTAATAACTAAATAAAGTACTAACCCTTTGCGTAAATATTGATTATTTCATTATAAGTTCTCGTTCTCTTTTAATATCTACACACACTATTTTTAAATTTTATTATCTTCTACAAATCTATTGAATTTTACGATTATTATTTATCTATATCAAAAATAATAAATTATTTAATAAATAATTATAATAAATAAAATTTTAATAAAAGAAATAAAAAACATCATCCAGACTTTGACAACATCTTAAACCTATCTAAAATGAACTTAAAAATATAATTTTCATTGATTGATAATACTTTAAAAAATTTACAATGGATACTAATAATATTGGTATTGTTAATAATGAAATAGAAAATAAAAGAAATGATAAACAACTAATTCAAATACAAGATATTAGAGAAAAGAAAGACAAAGAATTATTAAAGAAAATGAAATATAAAAGTGTTGATAAAAATATTGGAATTCAATCTCTTTATTTTGCTATTCTTTCAACAATGGGATATACTTTATTACTTGAAAAACCAAAAAAATATAAAACTAAAACACTAACAATAATTCAATTATATCAATTATATGACCAAAATGGAGTGTGTGTATTTAATAGAGATTGTATCTTTGAAAAAGCAAAACAATTAAACATTGGTTTAAATCGTCTTAACAAAAGAAGAATAATTCGACAATTTATTTTAAATGAAACAGTTAATTCTATTATTCAAATTATTCAAAATAATCCATTAGTTTCTATAATAGAAGGAAGATCAAAGAAAAATATTGTTAATGAAGAAGTACCTTCTCAACATAAAATTCAAATAATTACATTAAATGTTAATGGTTCTTATAAATTAATTGATTTAAATAAACAAGCATTAACTAATGGTAAAATTTATCATGATGCATTAGTAGGAATATTTGATTATATTCAATCAGATGGTATTATTATT